TCTTATGCCCTGAACTAATTGATATTCAATACTTATACCAGAAGCCAAATTAAAAATGTGTGAGCAATGGAAGGAGCCATTGAAATGCATTGAACAGGGTCAATTTGATGAAAATTTCAAAATATAATTCAAACTTAAGTGTGAAGAACAGATTGGGTAGTGGAATGAGGGTGAGGAGGAAACTGTTATAAGTCTGTCATGGTAATCCAGAAGGAAATAGTTGGGTGTCCTACGCTTGGTTAGGGAGGAGAGATGTGGAGAGTTGAGAAACATTCAGATGAAACAAATGGCAATGCGTGGTGATTAATTGAGTGCTGCAAATGCAAGGGAGGTGGCAGAGAAGGTGAAGTTACAGATTGCTGACAGTATCAGTCAGGCACCATTCACCAAGAGGACACGTTAGCAAAAAGACAAAAAGAAAAAAATACTTAAGGGGAAAAACCAATGGATTCAGTTCTGAATAAGTTGAGGTTGAGATGGAAATGTTTGGTAGGATTTTGGATTTGTGAGTATAGAAAAGAGATTTGAACAATGAGCAAAGAGATGGTGGCTGAAGCCATGGAGTGAATGGGATGACCCTAGGTTGGGGCATCGAGTATTGGCACCTGGCAAGGTAGATAGACGGGAAACATGCACGGAAATCTGAGAAGGAAGGAAGCAGGGAAACCTTTCTTTGCTTAAGTTCCAGGAAGGCAGTCTTTGCATAAGGGCATTGTCAACTTTGATATGTAGAATTCTGCCAAGGATCCAAGCAAGAGCAGAGCTGGATATTGTGTATTAGAAGGTCTAGGGAATGGTGGTATCGGAAGCCCGTGGAGGAGTGAATGAGAAGGGAGTATGAAAAGGCGAATGCAGCAACTCTTTCAAGGCACTTGATGGTAACAGGAAACAAAGGGCTGGAATGGAAACTTCAAGACAGGAAAAAAAGAGTGTCTTCTATACCTGATCTCTCACACTACCTCATTCCCAACCTAAATGGAAAGCATTCAGCAGTCATAATAGAAGAGAAACCAAGAAAACTTAAATATACAGGGGAGGAGCAATTCTTAAAATGAGTTTGCCAAGTATCTCAAAAGTATGAAATCCTGAGCACAAGTGGAGTGATTAGACTTTGGCTCTAGAAGATATTTTTTAATTATTTAACATAAAAAAAAGATTTGTATAGATGCATGCAAATTTGTGTGTTTTGTTATGGGAAGTTGGATGTCTTTACTATGCAAAGATTTTATTTTTCTCTGAAGGAAGTTCCAAGATAATTTGTTGAGAGTTATAGGAGAAAAGGTGGGTTTGATGTTCACAGAAAATTGAATTATGCTGTTTTGTTAATAACATGGACATAAATATTCAACACATTATTTCACAAAGAACAGAACTTTGTCATCAGCATTAACTACTTAATCTTTTTAGATCATTTTGAAGGATGAAATGTAAGGCCAAATGAAAAAAACAGGGTATATTAGATTATATTTTTGTGCCCTTCGGTATTGTTATTTCTTTTCCTACCACATCATAATAAATAAGAAAATATTTTTATTTATATGTTACACAATATCTTTGTTTCTTAGATATCATCTTCAGATTTTTCATTCGTGCTTATCTGAATGTAGAATGCATATTTATATGTAATGTTGATAATTTTCCAGAAGCAAAGTATGGCAGATATTTCTGAAATCAGAGATATGGCAAGTTGCCTGGTTTGACTTTTCATAAATACTGCAGTATGAAAGAGGCTTTTAAAAGAGTAGTTTTGGAATTATATTATGGTGCAACCTCAGGAAAAAAAGCCTTATGAGAGAATACATGAAATAAATATTAAATAAAAGGACATGAACTTGGAAATGCTTTCTAATGCTGACTCATTCACTTCATCAGGTACCTCCTATTTCTGTCACTTTCAACTCAATGAATGTGATATATCATTTGTGAATGACATTCATAATTTTGCTAAATTAGTCATCTTTAGTATCTATAAGCTCACTGCTTTCAACTTTTCAGCTGCTAAATAGATTTTCGTTATAATTCCATTAATCTAAACTGAAAGTTTAAAATGCAAGTGGGACAATTAAGGTTATTTTGAGTCCAAAGTATAATATTTTATAATTCAATTTTTTTAAGGAGAAAGCATAGTTGTTTCATTTATCTGTTATTCAGTTTTCCTAGCTATATTGTTTTAATTGCTTTTGCTATAGATTATTTCATTTATTATTTTTAATTTGACTTTTTCACACCTATAGTGTACAGCAAACTGAGAGGGCATAGGGGCTGGGGTAGAGTTAGGGCCAGGAATAAGAGTTGAGGGCTAGAAGGTTATAGGACTAACCAAGTGAATGGTCAGGATTTTGACTTACACCCTGAATGTTTTGGGAAGCTACTGAAGGGATTTGAACAGAAAAAGTACATAATCTGAATTGTTTTCCAAGAAGCTTTTTTGGTTGCTGTTTTGAGAAGAGAGTACAGGGCCACATGTAGAAACAAAGAGGATGGAGGCTATTCAAATGCCTGAAGTGAGAAATTATGGTGTGTTTTGATTAGGATAATAGTGGCAGAAGTAGAGAGAAGTAGTTGGATTTATTATATATCATGGAGGGCAAGCTGAATTGATTGTCTTTTACTTTGTATGTGTCATGTGAGAGAAATAAAGGAGTTAACATAGCCAATATTTGGGAGAAGGATGGAGTTCGTAATTATTGAGGTGACAAAGACTAATGGAGAAACAGGTTTGCAGAAGTTTTGAATTTGGTTTTCCAATGTGCTGAGTTTGGGATGCCCGCAGAGGTGATAAGTAGGAAGCTGGAGGTGAGCATTCAGAGTCCAGAGAACTACAGGCTGGAGACATACTTTGAAAAATTGTCAGTCTTTTGATCAGTGTGCAATGCCATGGGTACATGTGAGCTGTACAAGGGAATGAATGCACGAAGAGAAAATGTACAGGACTATACTTCAGAACACTTCAACATTCAATTCTACCTGCCAATTTTTCCAGTTAATTTTTCTAAAAGAAGAATTTTAAACTTTTCTAGAGGACAATCCTTTTATATTCTTTGAAATTTTGGAATTTTCCTTTGCCTTAATTTGTGAGTGCAATATGTTTTCATTTTGTCTTGAAGTTCGTAATTGTGGTACTGTTTTTAAAATATTCTTTTTCATATCTACATTGCACCTTTTCTTCCCTATTTTTTTTCTTTCCCTAGCAGACATTCTGTCTGTTAATCTTGGCCTTAGACCCGTCCTTTTTGTTTTCTTTTTCATGTTCTCAGATTCCTCATACGTCCAGAGATCCTTGGATTTTTCACTCACAACGATGAATGAAAATGGAATTGTTTTAGGTGTTTGGAGGGGATTTCTTTTGCTGTTTGCTTTATTGCCTCCTGTCCCTTTTGAGTGGTACAGTGCATGGAGAGTTCCATTGACAATGGCAGGGTTCATGGACCGATTGATTTCCCTATAGATTACTGACAAGATTTCAGAAGTGAAGATAAGGCATCCAGCAACCAGAATAAATTGGTTTCCTTTGCTGAACCCAGAACAAAACCTGGTGCTTTCATTTCACTCTTTCTATTCACTATGTTCTTTGGCAAAGTGACGTTGTAAAACATTTTAGCCAGGGATCAACACCGTACTGTCTCTATTTAACTTACATGATAATGGGTTGAACAGGAATAGACAGACTTTTAAAGACATCGGCTGTGGTTTTACTTTTTGTTCTCAGTCTTGTCTTCTGTGTACTCTCTCCATGTTGCCCACTCTGAGCATGGGACCTCTTTATAGTTGGGAAATCAGCTCCTACCCCCACTGGAGTCCATTTCTAGTATGTTTGGGCTATGGCATTTTCTATATGTGTCCTCTAGTATCTATCAGCTTATTGCCTTTCAGAGAGTTATTTCAATGGCCTTTAGCTTTACAGAGGCAATATTGGTTTAGCACTCAGGTAATTAATTTGGTAGGAGCATTCTTAAAATTTGCTTCCTCCAGTTATTATCTTTGTGAATTTGGGAAAGTTGCTTAAGCATTTTAAAAATATGATTCACTTTTCTGTATAGTAAGGATAATAATGATAAAACCTAACCCATAGGATTACTACTAGCATTAACTAAGGCAATATATATCAAGTTCAGTTCCTGAAGACAAGCGCATGCTTAATATTACTACTAACAATAGCAATATTTTGAGTAGTTTATTTTTTATATTTAAATAGTTGATGTAGTAAAAAATAAATTATATTCTAATTTATCATAGGATTACATACAAATTATGTAATATGAATGACAGCAATATTTACCTACCTAGTTTAGAAAAAATAGATGTTATTAAAGCAAAATAGCATATGTATGTGCAACTACACATTTTATATATTTATCAAATTTCATGTTCTGATGAACACTTCTAACTATAAGAAAAACTGTAGAGAAATAGTTTGAATTAATAGGGTTTTTCTAACCTTCCTAAATTTTTCTTCAGTAGTTTCCTATGGCAATTTATTGGCAACTTTCGTAGATATTCTACGTATATTTCACCAGCCCAAGCATTATATATGTACTTTCTTTACACTGCCCATGTTTGTCTTTATTATAATCAATATATTATTTATACTTCACAGAAAATAAACCTAAGTAGAATTACAAGGAATACTAAAGTACTAATATTTAATATTTAGGACTAAAAGTCAATATTAATTGGATTAGTTTACAAGCCAATTGGTTAATTGTTTAGGAGTCTGTGGAGGTAACTGAGTTTTGCCCATTTTTCATTTGTTGAACTGGAATTGACAGAGATTTGCTGATTTTCTTTTCTAATAACTTAGGATTTTTAAACTACAAATATAAGGATAAATGGTTCAACTACAATAACTACCACATCAACAACAAAACGTGCCAGAATCCACATGGAAAAAACAAAACCAAAAGAAAGAAGACCTAAAGCGAACTGGAAGATTAATGTAAATTTTCCTGGAATGAGCCTTTGTGGAATCATGTGATTATAGTTTTAATTTCTTTTTACAGTCTGACATTCTTCAAAATCAACATGAAAATGAAATGGAAGAAATATCAGGAGATATAAAGGAAGAATCTAAATCTCAAAACAGCAAGGATAGAGTGATTTATGAATTAAGAATGGAGGTAAGATATTGGATAAAGATTGCAATACATACTAGAACATACCTGATGATCATTAAATGATATATTAATACTATTCTAAGCAGTATAACTGAGGCACTTTTGATTACTTTATGAAGGTGAATGCTGTTGATAATGTAATAAGCTCATATATGATTTAAAATGCTGTGGAATGCTATTGGCTCATAACTAGATCTGAATTATTTGAATATTAAAAAGATAAAATATTTGACTATAAAACCACCTTGGAGCCAATGCAAATCTTACTGTAAGTAAATATTTATTAAAAGTTCAACCAGCTGCTGGATAGGGTATGTTAATTTATTTTCAGAACCAATGACATACAAAACATTAATATGTGGTAGGAGGTTTCTGGTGGAATTAACACTGCTATTGTCAGCTAGCAACAGTGAGAGATAGAATGCATTTACTTTTGTCGTAGTTAATTTATTTCTTAGGTATGCCAAGTACATCTATTTTCTACTTCTACCACCACCACCAACAAATGAATTTTTACAAATTTATAAACTCTGAATGTTCTTCTTGTCCTGTAGATAAAGAAGGAATTATTGTCCTTAGAAATAGAAGGATTATTGAATTATTTGTACTCATAGAAAATTGTGTGACTGCATTAAAAATGGAAAATTGGCTGGGCATAGGCCACATGTAACCCCAGCACTTTTAGATGCTGAGGAGGGGGGGATCTGTTGAGGCCAGGAGTTTGAGGTCAGCTTAGGCAACATAGAGAGACTCTGTCTCTAAAAACTTTTTTTTAAAAAAAATTAGCTGAGCATGGTGGCACATGACGGGAGTCCCAGCTACTCAGGAGGCTGAGGCAGGAGTATTGCTTGAGCCCAGGAGCATGAGGTTGTGGTGAACTGTGATTCTGTTACTACACTCCAGTCTGAGCAACATGACAAGAACTTGTCTCAAAAAACTGGAAAACCACAAATCATTTATTTTGTAACAGATAATTCTGAAAGAATGCTTTTGATACAAATATGTAAGAACAATTTAGGAAGTGGAAAAAATTAGTGAAAATAGAGACTGAGACAATGGTAATTTGTATTAAGTGTTTTCTTCCTTTTATAATTCTTTAAATTCTGAACTGACATCAAACTGTATAAAATATTGATGAATGTAGTGCAATGAGAAGTGCATAGATTTTGCAAGTGGCTCCATCATTTAATGATTACTTTATTCTGGTCAATGTTTAAAGCCTCCCTGTGTCTCAGTTAACAGATTGAAATGATAGTAATAGTAACAATAGTCATTATACAAGATTTTTAAAAAGATTACACACCTCAAGGGACAGAGTGTTCTAATATTGGGAGTTTCGGCTAAGCTGTTCAGGAGAGTTATACCTTCCCTGTGCTGCTCCTCATTGCATCAGTGCCATCCCTTGACAGCTTTTCTACAAGTCATATAAAAGAGTGTTGGGGTGACAGGGATCATATCAAGAGATCCATAATGAGAAAGGCTGATCTGTTGAAAACAAATCTTCCTAAGTCAAAGGGGAAAATATAATGACTTTTTTGTTTTGTTTCCTAAGAGGAATCCAACCATCCAAATAGGTACCACTTTTTCTGAGCCCTCAGCTCTAAGAAGCATCTTTGATTAAGCATTGCACAACATGTTGCATAAAAGCTTATTTAACAGCTAAAGATAAAAACAGAGGAAAGCACATATGGCTGTTTATTATAACTCTTTTCAAAAGCCAAGGGCATTTATATATACACCTTTTTTTAGTGCAGCTTTAGGTTCACAGCAAAATTGAACAAAAAGTACAGAGTTTCTACATATTCCCTCCATCCCCACAGACTCCTTCACAGCCAACATCCCTCTTCAGTGTCATGTGTTTATTATAACCGATGAACTAACATTATCATTATCATTATCAACCAAAGCCCATAGTTTAAGGGAACTTGAGGATCAAGAAATGGCACTGTGGTGAGTTTTCTTGGTTTTTGCTGCATATTTCCTAGAACTAGAGCTGAAGAAGCCAGCAACCTGAAAACACCAAAAGGCACAGATAAACACACAAACAAATAAAAAAATCTAAAACAAAAAATACAACCTAAGTCTTCTTGCTCTTGCCAAAGTAGTAGGGAAGATGGAAAACTTTTAGTACAATAATGCATGAATCCAGCCAAATATTACAGACAACATGTGGCCTCCAACCCCACAACTGCTAGCAAAGACCAAGTGGGAAGCCTGGATTCTGTCTATACCGGGAAGTAACAAGGCAGTGCTGCCCTTTCACTTTGCAGGGTGGTGAGAGAAACCCATGTAAAACAGAATGTTTGGTAAGATCCAGGTTACATCCCATAATTTCCAAAATATCCAGTATACAACTGAACATTACTACTCATCATACCAAGAGCCAGAATATCTCGAAATGAATGAAAGAAGACCATAGATGCCAACACTAAAATGACAGATGTGTTATTTGGCAAGAATTTTAAAGTGGCCATGATAAAAATGCTTCAATGAACAATCGTGAACATACATGAAATAAGTGGAAAAACAGGAATTCTCTTTTTTAAAAAAATAGATGACCTCAGCAAATAAATAGAAAATACAAAGAAGAAACAAATGAAAAAGTTAAAACTGAAAAACACAAGTGAAAATTTAAAAATTATCCCATCTGAAAGGCACAAAGAAAGTAGGCTGGACCAAAAAAAAAAATAGATAGCCTTAGGGATCTCTGAGATGATAACATAAGGGCTACATTAACATCATTGGAGGCCAGTTTGAGAGGATAAATAGTGCATTGCTGATAGTACTAAAAAAAAAAAAATGAAAACTTCCAAAATTTAGAAAAGGATCAAATCTACAGTCAAAAATTTAGTGAATTCCAAACAGCATAAACCCCAAAATATTCATATCAAGAACCATCATACTTAAACTTATCGAAAATTAGGGTAAGAATGTTGACAGAAGACAGAAGAAAATTACACCTTACCTATAAGGAAAAAAACAATTCAAATGACAGTGCATTTTGCATCAGAAACTGTGCAGGCCAGAAAGAAGCAGCACACAATTGTTCAAATTCTAAAAGAACTGTCAATTCAAATTCCTGTATCTAGTGAAAATATCCTTTAGGACATTCTCAGATGAAGGAAAACTAACAGAATTTATTTCTAGCAAATAAGCATGTGAAAAGATGTTTAATGTATTACCTGTTAGAAGAATGCAATTTAAAACCTCGATGAAGTATAACTGTACGCCTATCAGAACAACTAAAATAAAAATAGCGACAGTACTAAATGCTGGTGAGGATGCACAACTACTGGATCACTCATATTGCAAGAGGGAATGTAAAATGGTGCAATGACATTGACATTGAAAAATAGTTTGCAGTTTTCAAAATAACAACTACCGTATGATCAAACAATTGGATTCCTGGACATTTATTTCATAGAGGTGGAAACTTACATTCACATAAAACATGTAGTTGAATCTTTAGAGTAATTTTATTTGTAAATGCTGAAATTTGGAAACGACATTGATGACTTTTAATGGATGAACAATTAAACAAGCTATTAAATCCATACCTTGGAACACACTTCAGAAACAAATAGAATGAACTCTTGATACATGCAACCATCTGGGTGAATCTCCAGAGAAATATGTACAGTGAAAAATATTCCAAAGGACTACATAGACCATGATTCTATTTATGTAACATTTTGAAGTGACAACATTGGGAAATGGAGAAGTAATGAGTTGTTAGCAGGGATGCAGGAGGCGGTGGATGCTGTGGCTATAAAACAGCAACATGATGCATCCTGTTGTGATGGAAACATTCTGCATTTTGACTGTATCATTGTTGATGTCTGGTTATGGTATTGTACTAGAGTTTCAGGATGTTAACATTCAGGTAAACAGAGTAAAAGGCACATGGAATTTATTTCTTTTTTACAACTACCTGTGAATCTATAATTATCTCAAAATAAAATTTCAATTAGAACACCCTAATCCTCTTTCAAAATGTATACCAAGTTTTACCTTTTACATACTCATCTGAACATAAGCATCCCTCATGTTCTTACCACTTTGGGGTCTAAAATACCTGGGTATAAGTTATCCTGACACTATCTGGTGTCTGGCTTCCCAGCAATTACATACGTTTTCATGTTTGGCTATCTGCAAAATGGTGTTTAATTAACAGCTTATCTAAAGGAGTAATTCATTTATGTATGTAAAGTACTAAAAATTGTACACTACATATGGTAGGACTCAATAAATACATGTTTCCTCCCTTGCCATTCAAATTTCATTTAGGATATCCTATATTGGCCTGACCATCCAGATTTTTAGATGTTAGTAACACTGTACGCAATTCTGTAGTATCCCATAAAACTTTCCAGAATATTTCCACATCTATGTATTTCCCCTCTGCTCAAGTATAAAGCTCTTAAGGATACTGTCTTACAGCAAGTGCATCTATCACAATTTCTGGTGCCAAGTAAGTTTCCAATAAATGTTTGATGGGGGAATGCATCTTTTAATGTGATTAATCTGTCTCCAAAATTAGACTGTAAGATTTTTCCAAGAGAAGCAGAATATTTTCCCCTGCCGAATTCACCTAGAATCTTGTATATATCTCATCATTATTAGACCCTGCGGTGAATATTTGAGGATTATATGGACAAAGACTGAAAGTTCACAGCTGGAAAGAACCTGAAGATACATTCTAGTCCCTCATTTCACTGATTCCTTTTCTGATGTTAATGATTTTCCACAGTAGGCTTTCTTGACTCTAGCTTAATGTTTCCTTAATAAAGTACATTGTCTGTGATACTCTGTTAGGATTAAAATCTTACCATATAATGTAAAAGTGCTCTTAAAATGGTTTAATTTTCTTCCTAATCCTAAATGAATACAATATGATAGAAACTTAAGGGACCAAAGGTATCTTTTTTCCTCACTTTCAGAATGTCTATATTTAGTCACTTTTAAAATGCTGCTTCTGAATTGAAAACAAAAGGCCCAGATGG